TTTATATATATATATAAATACATTTGCTACTGGAACATTTATTAATTTACAAGGAAAAGTCAGAATAGTGAATAATTTGTTTGATAAAACACATTTCATGATCTAGACCATAATGGACAGCTTAACATGTTGAAGATTCTAAAACATTTTGTTGTTATATTCTGAACCGTCTAGGATTTTTTTTTCTTGGGCCCAGCACTGACTAGGGTTAGAACTGATGAAACTTTGTAGAATGGACAGCAACTGCCTGTTGTAGAGAACATTTCAAAAGTCCTCCACCTTTCGTCATCGGGTCAGTGTGTGTAAAGTGTTGTCGTTCTTTATAGTATTCTGGTGGATTGTGGAGACCGTGTTAGGAATGCCAAGAAACCAAACCGAACATCACTAAACAGGAATGCAGTGCACTGAATCGTTCAAAATGAGACAATATCAAGATTCTACCAGCAGACAAAGGAAACAGTATAGTCATCCTAGACGTCAAGGATTATAACACAAAGATCAAACAGTTACTAGACAAACATCAATATAAAAAGATCACCAATGACCCTACAGAAAAGACAGAGAGACTCATCAATATAACACTGAACAAACTTAAGAAACAAAAATTAATCAACAAGAAGCTAGCCAAAGACTTAAGAACCAACAAAAACTTCCCTTCAGTTCTACAGACTACCTAAGGTACACAAACCCAACATACCTTTAAAGCCTATCATCAGTGCTATAAACTCACCTTGCCATTAACTAGCTACCTTCCTAGTACCTATCTTATCTCCACTACAAGGAAACACCGAACATTACATTCAAAGCTCCACAGATTTCATAGAACTCAGAAAGCTATATATCAGATCCCAGAATATTCTGGTCGGTTTTGACATCACAGACCTATTTACCAATGTTCCAACCTCAGAAACCCTTCAGATCACCAGACAACGACTGCTGAATGACAAGATAGACGCCATCATGGAACTAACAACTATTTGCCTACAATCAACTTATTTCCAATATAATAAAGAATTCTACAAACAAATAGATGGTCTAGCCATGGAATCACCACTCTCTCCAATCATAGCAGACATTTTCATGGAAGACTTTGAAGAAAGAGCCCTCTCATCCACACATATAAATCAAAGTTTCTACAGACATTATGTTGACGATACCTTCGTTATTTGGCTCCACAGTCATGAAAACTTACCAGCCTTTTTTGAGACTGATACCATACCAGTCTCTAACACCAAGCTCTTAATGGGGAGGAAGGGTGGGAGAGTGTCACCAGAGGAAAGTATTATTGGAAATACATTTTCAATTTGGAAAAATGTTAACTTCCAAAACATACTTACCTCTGCTGACATTTATAGCTAGAATCCTACATTGAGAAGGAGGAGGGGCCGGTGAGGACATTATCCATACAAAAAGCATCTGCATAGATCCTGGGTGTATCAAGATAAGAATGGTACATGAGTGAGGGAACCGCACTGCATCCAAAACAGGTATGCTCTTCATCCTGAACTTAGTTCCTGTATCAAGGATTGAATTGTACAATTATCATCACTATAGGCCAGCCCTAACCTGATAGCTGAGGTTCCACTACTCGGGGTTAGAATTAAGGGGTCTTCGTCCCTATAACCCACGTTGATGGCTAGGGCAATGAGACTGCAACGTTATATATAGATATACTTTTGATTGGATCCCAACTTGTAGCCATATAGTGATGCGTTCTGAACCACCAAAATCATCAACTAAAATAATTTTATTAAATTATATCTGCATCTAAATGAGGCTTTAACACTTTTAATTAATTAATTCTTAAACAAAGGTCTTTTTCATGTAGCATTTACTTTTACATTTGTGTTAAAGTCTGTTTGTTTGACTAAGCTTCTCATGTTGTTATTTTCAGGCAAAGGCAGTACCAAGCTCTCACTTTTTCTACAAAGCCTCCACATCTGTAGTTCCTGTTCTTATAGGTAATATTCACATATGAACTTTGAATAAATTAAACAATATGATAACAGTATGATTATTAAACGTGTAAATTGTAAGACTTATGTATAGTTGTTTGATATTTATTTTTCTTCCAGTAAATATTTTAAGTGGTAAATAAAGGTTTGTCTGCTTCGGTGTTGCTTACTTTCTTGTTAAGTTATTTCTGTCTAAAAACTCTTATGAAAATCAAAAGCAATCAATACAGTAAAGCCTGTAAAGTTTTTATGTTTTGTTTCATGAACTTTTAATGTAGAATTTTTCCCATGGTTTTAAAAATGTACTAATGTGTCCACCTACCATTTCTTCTCTTGTATATCCTGCTTTAAACCACTTGCAGAACTCTGTATGCCTACTAAGAGATGATGCAGGTAAACGATGTCCACTATCCAGTGGACAGGCCACAATCTTCTCTTTCTGGACGATTAAACAAAAGAACATTTATCTTTGTACTGGTATCAGATAAAATTAATTTGTGTGCTAATTCTGCATCAGACAAATGTTTAAAGAAGAATATCACAAATAACTACTAAGTAAGTTTGAAGAATAATATAAACATACTTTGTATTATAGCAGATTCTCAAACATTCAGCTTATACTGAATAAACCTGTATTATGGTACATATATACTGTGGTAATATGGTACATATATTCTGTGGTATTCAGTATAAGCTCCACAAACCTTTACTGTGGTATTCAGTATAAGCTCCACAAATCTGTATTACAGTACATATATACTGTGGTATTCAGTATAAGCTCCACAAATCTGTATTACAGTACATATATACTGTGGTATTCAGTATAAGCTCCACAAACCTGTATTATGATAAATGTATACTGTGGTATTCAGTATAAGTTCCACAAACCTGTATTATGGTACATATATACTGTGGTATTCAGCTGTGGTATTCAGTACAAGCTCCACAAACCTGTCTACCTTAAATTCCTTACTGTAGTCATTATTATAATAATAATAGCTGGATTATTTTGTTTTCTTTATATACGGAATATATAAAAGTTACAGCTGTAATTATAATTTGGTACTTAACAGTTTTGAAAATAAATTTAATAACTTTAGGGTTAAGATAAGGTTGTGATAAAATATATTTAATTCTCAAGTGTCAATAGACTACTTGTATTTAGTGTTGATTATTTACTCTAAAGTTACAGTGGTTAAAAGTAGCATAAGTGTTAAGCACTCAGTCTGCAAGGTGCAAGGAGTTTTATTTGTAAACTCTGGACTGGCCTGCACTTTTAAAAAAAACTATTAGTGAATTTTCAACTTTTTCGTAGTTTGCAGGTTGGAAGAGGCTATCCTAAACTGAGTAAAGGCAATAACAATAAATATAAACAGTGGAAAATCACAGCAGGATTTCAAGATGAACTTAAGTTTTTACATGCAAAGGATACAGTAGCTAATAATTATTTTCAGTAGGTTAGAAACTACCAATAAGAATAGAAGTAATGAAATTAAGTGTAATGAGTAAATTATTTCAAGTAACAGATTTGAACCTTTAGCTTGTGCAGGTGATGAACTATTGGAGAGAAGGACAGAAATAAATGGTAAGTACAAGGGACTGATACATGTTTTACAAAAAATGGCTACAATAACTTGATTCTGTCAGGGATGCTACCGAGACTTAACTGTGGGAATGAAATTATATGTAGGTCACTAGAACTGAATGACAGGCTTAAAATAATAAGAAAGGACTAGCATATTGGCTGGATGGACTTGTGGGATAAATACAATAGAAAATGGGAGCTTTTTGGAACTGATATTTAACATTTAAACCGGGTAGCAGCTAGCTGGTTTGTTATGGCTATTATCTCAACTGTGAAGACTAGACAGCAGTTAGGGTCAAAACAAAGAAAAAACAAGATACAGAAAATGTAAGTATAGTGTAGACAAAACTACAGATGTAGCTTTAAGGGTAGGCTAAACTATTATTATTATGATGATGATAATGCCAGAAGTATATGAAATAAAAAAGAAAACATTAATGCACTATTTGGAACATAGGATTTTGATGTAATGAAAAAATAGTGGAAAGTTAGTGAAATGTAGACAATTTTGATGACAGGTACTTCTTTGAAATACCAGGTTATAGGATGTTCAATATGGATAGTACTACTACTAAACAAAGGGAGTGGCATTCTCTGTTAAATGTGAGTTACAGCCTGTTCAAGTTAAGGATATCAAAGATAACAGCAAGGAGGTTGAATCTAATTGGATTGTTGTTAGTGGATATAATGGGAGAAGGCTTTTAGTTCGAATTTGTTATAGACAACCAGGTGAAACTGATGAAATTAATGAAAAACTCTAGAATGGAATAAAAAATTCAACTGTTATTAAAGTCATAATTATTTTAATTTCAAGAATATATATTAGAAAATGTTAAAGTCAAACCATGAGGAAGGTAGAAACCGGTCAGAATGGTTTTATTCATTAAATGGTCAGGAAACCTACTAGAAACAATGCTAACTACTTATTGCTAACTACTAATATAGAAATGGCTGATAGGATGGAGATTGAGGAACTTTTTGGTCCAAATGATCTTAGCTCAATTAGATTTGATGTTTTGTTGCATATGAAGATAAGGAATAATGAGATTTGGGTTACAAATTTCAAATTATGGAGGGATGTGACAAAAATTATCTGTTGTGAATTTGGCAACTGAATTAAATGGAGGTACTGATGAAATGTGGAAAAATTTAAAAATAAATGTTTAAAGTTTTAATTTTCCTAATCTGAAAATGTATTTCCAAACATACTTACCTCCACTGACACTTACAGCTATTTCTTTGCCATCTAAACATCATATTTGCTTGCTCCAGATGAAGATCGAGTAATAGCTGTGAGTGTCAGCGGAGATATGTATGTTTTGGAATATTCATGATAGACATGTTACTAATAAAAAAAAGATTGCTACAAGTAAAAAACCAGGTTCACTCACAAAGGATTTTAGGGATGAAATTAAAGATGAACATCATAACTTTAAGTTATTAACAGGAGCCTCAGATAATTATATAAAATCAAGAGAATTGGACAAAAAGGAAATTATGAAATCAAAAATGGTATATGAAAAAAAAGGTTGGCTGAAAATTCCAAAATTAATAGCAAGGTATTTTTTTAAATACATCATAGGTACACTGAAGATAGTCTGTATCTTCAACTACACACCAATGTGAGTGAAAATCTGCTGTGCAACAACTTATGAAAAAAAACTGAAATTATTAGAAAGCCAGATTCAGTAAATTACAATAGCCCCAGTACAATAGCACAATTTCTCTACAAGATCAGGGATTTACAATTTTGTACAAAACATTAACTAACATGACTTTTAATTTAACACAAAAACTTGCAGATACTCTTTAACATAACTCAGTATCCAGTATTACTTTCAGTAATCTCAGTTCAGTTTTCCCTTTCCCATCTCTTTATCTCACTTGTAGAATAGTGTAATTAACTGCTCTAAACTAATACATCTTCCCCGTTACATGTTATACAGACCAAGATGTCATTTAATGTCCACAATTTCCCATCTAATGTCTCCATCATGGTGATAATCATCGAAAACAAGAAATCAGGCACAAATCAGTTTAGTTTGATCATATTCAACAAACAATTCTCTCATAATATAGTGTTCCTTCCCCATCAAACCTTCACCCTTAGCCTCTTAGTTCTTCCAAGAACATAGTTTACTCGGACTGTGTTACCCTCTACCAAGACCTGAAATCTCTTCTTCAGGTTGACCCTCACAATAGACACCACTTCCTAATACTTTGTTGCCCTACTCTCAGCAACATAAAAGTAAAAGTCACAATAACTGGACCACATAAACTACAATGAAACAACACAATCAGCTTCAAATTTTTCTCGACTGATTCCACACCTTATCACTTACCAACCAAGCTTTTCATAGCCCTATCTAATTTACATATGCTTATTGCAACACAGCATTATTACAGTGATACTCATATTAAGACCAACCACTAATATGGAACATCGTTATCACATATGTTGAAGTATTTTTGTTATAAGATCTGCTACATATGATTTGTTGAAAATCTTTCGGTTTTGAATTTTTTTTATATTCCTAAGATGAAACACTTGTTTCAACCTTTTTTTTATAAAATCACTATCAATAGTATCATGAATATCTTCACTACAGACAGAAAATTTACCTTTTCAAAAATTGAAAAATTAAGACTTTGCACTTTTGCGGCAGGAACCAAGCTCTTTGTTCTAAAACCGTACCAGCCAAATTCAATAAATTAATAGTAACTGCATCATACGTTATACAGTTAAAATCATTTTGTTATGTTTTAATTCTATTTTAATATAACTTCTAAAGCAATATTTAACAATATTAACAATAGTAATACACATAATTTAGGCCTAGTATAACTTTGTTTTCCTTTATCTGTTTAGTAAACTTTATTATATCAACAGACCTGCACTACTTCAAGAGATTCTGAGGTCCATCCAAGTACAGAAAGTATTGATTTAAATTCATTTCTGGAATCTTCAATGAATTTGTTCAATTTCTTTAGTTGCAATTCTCTCTCAACTTTTTTTCTCTCATTGAGTCCTGCCATATTTACAAAACCGCCCTCTATTTTTCACGTTTTCATTTTAAATTTGTTTACGGTAAAACGTGATTCTAGTATAATTTCATGAACGAAAAAAAAAAACCAAAACAGTTTATTGTCATACACAACAAAATGGTGTGCGTTAGGTGATTCGGTTAAACGTATTTCTTTTTTATGTTTGTTTTCTGACATATCTTGATACTACATCAAGTAGTTTCAAAGGAAATGTGCCTTTATTAACAAAATCAATGTTAGCAGTTATCTTAAAGTAAAATAGACGTATATGTACTTCGTAAAATAGATGGCTGCTTTGTAAGTTTTTTATCTTATTTTTTGTCCAAGATAAATAAGGTATGACCATCCTATGTTCATCTTTATAGTGGGTTTTGTTTTTGCGACGGAAAGTGCATCAATGATGTTTTTACTATTTCTTGGAGATATTTATTCTCAATAAAAAATCTCTCAAAGTTGTTGAAGTCGAGTTGCTACGTGCTCGTTGCTATATATTCCTCTTCCCATGCATGCTGATATTTTAAAGACGCTGTTTTTTACCGTTAGAGGGTGACATGACTTGAAATATAAGGATTTCTCAAATGAGTTGCTTTCCTATATACAGTAGTTTTCAATTTGTGTTCAGCGGATTTCTTCATTACCATCCAGAAAAGGTAATGTGTTATTTGTCTCTACATCTAATAAAAAATTCAGTAGTTGCGTGTTAATTATTTAAACGTAAGATAATCTGATCAAAACTTTTTGTATTGCTACTATTAGATAAAAATGTTATCAATGTAAGGAAACAAACACTGAGGATGGCATAATAAAGATGCAATGGCAGCAACTTCCAAATTTTGTAAATACCTTTCAGCAACTTGGGAAAAGGTTTCAAAGCATTCATTCTTTGCCCATCTCAGGCATGATAAACTTATCATAGTTTCAGATGCAGTGGTATTGTTAGCTGGTTTACCTTTCGAATTAGAAACGCTTCCTTTTTCCTTAACGTTCATTCATCTGCCACAGAGCCTCTTATTTTGAAGTGTTCGGTTTCTCGCTACAGTCTTTGCTTAGATGGTTGTAAATTCCAGTAGTTGTTGGAAGGGCTGTTTTGCGCATGCTTCTTGACTATGCTAGCTAAGTTTGGGATGTTGACAAAGAGAACAGAGTTGTAATTCACAATATATTGTTACTTATCTGCTCGTTTGTTAATTTCCGGGGAACTTCAGCGATACAATTCCTTTCTTAATTTATTCTTTGTTGATACAACTTTTTGTAATACACAGAATTTCCACAGTCATTTTAAACTTAACAACCTTTATAACACACGCTATAAATCACGGTGATTCACACACCTTACTTACGGTGCCTACTGTTCGCTTGACTCAATTATCTATCTCTTCAATCTATCTATCACTGGCTTTATTTGCAGGGCTTATATTCTAAAAAAAAAAAAGGGCGCCTGGCAAACACTCGAACATTCGCGGGGTTCCTCGATAATTCATAATCCTTCGAGAAACTCCAGCGTCGCGTGACTTCCGCTGACGTAACAATATCATATGTAACGAACTAAAACAAACAGCCGCTATAATCAGGGTTGAAACATACACCCACACACAAAACAAAAGAATCTACTGAACTTTGACAACCAAAACTTTTTAACAGTTGCAATAAATAATTTAGCACTTACCAACAATACAGTTATATAAGTGCCTGTCTAGGACTTGATATTAACGTTAATGAATTATACAACATAAATATCAATGTTGATAATTATTTCAATAAATATAAAAACCAGGAAAAAGAACCAGAAAAAGAAAAATCCTGATTACAAAATACCAATATCCTGTATTTAAACAACTACAAGATCAATAATAACATCAAGTAATAATCAGCTAAATACTTTTTAACTCTATCTCGAAAACTAACATCCCCGTCCCACCAAACATGCTCGCCCTTTCAGTCGTGGGGGCGTTATAACGTAACAGTCAATCCCACCATTCGTTGGTAAAAGAGTAGCCCAAGAGTTGGCGGTGGGTGGTGATGACTAGCTGCTATCCCTCTAGTCTTACACTGCTAAATTAGGGACGGCTAGCGCAGATAGCCCTTGTGTAGCTTTGCACGAAATTCAAAAAACAAACGAGAACTAACTCGTTGAAGCTCGTGATAGGGCTTTTATTTAGTCGTTAGACCATGAGATTACATCTCATGTGACTAGCTATTACCATAAATTTATACAATCTTCCACAACATTAATAATATATTTTGATAACAAGGAATCCAATTGAAGTATATATATATATATATATATATATATATAGTAGAGATGACTAATATGGACATTAAAAACTTATTTAAAACACAAAACAAGTAACAATGTTTCGACCACCTTAATCTCTTAACCTGACTTTGTTACTTGTTTTTTGATTTAAAAAATAAAAGTTTTTAATACCCATATGAGCCTTCTCTACTATATTTTAATAATATCTGTACGTCACTACTTGGGGAAGCTGGAGTCAAGTTCATAATACATGTATACTACTTAACATCGATTTGATCAGTCAATAGGCGAGTTAGCGTTTAAATGTAACTCAAAATGCATACTAAACTAAATGGTAGAAAGATTAAATGAATTAACTGTCAACAAAACCATAACAAAATAAAAATAGAATTCGCTATTTCACAAATAAACAAAACTACCTTGATAAAATCTATACCATCTTGAATGGTTCCAGTAAGATTAAAGTGTTGGATAAAGATCCCACCATACAAAGAGAAAATAAAGACTCCTATTAAAACTAAAGAAAGAAAATGTTATTTCTAATCACGTATATAACCAGATTAGACCTTTGGGACCACACATTGGTATTCTATACGGTCTGCATAAACTACATAAAGCAGGATCTATTGAATGTAACATAGGAACACATAGACAATTTTTATTTAAAATATATGTATAATTATCTTTATATTTTCATTTGGTGATTCAGCCGTTATCTGTGTCACAGATAGGATTGACTTATAGAGTAATGCTTTGTTTGTTTGAAGTTAAGCACAAAGCTACACAATGGGCTATCTGTGCTCTAACACCACGGGTATCGAACCCCGGTTTCTAGCGTTGTAAGTCAGCAGACATACCCCTGTTTGGGTAATTTCTGTTTAATTCGCTAAGTACGTTATTACTTCCATTTACCAAGAAAGACTTTACTGTCAAATATTCTTTTGGTTTCGTCAAATTAATGAAACTTGATCAATCTGTACCATAAACCAACATTTTCTGGTCTGTACTGTCATTTCAGCACATTCATACCTGATTGTTACAAAATTTATTTAATAAACATTCTAATTCATAGAGCGTATAAACTTACCAGTTCTAATAGTAATTTTTACGATGAAATAATCAATATTAAAAAATAAATGATTAAAAATGCCTTCCCTTTAGCATTCACCAAACAAATTATTTTTTGGATATATATATATATATTAATAGTTTCCAACTCCAAGATTCCAGGCTTCAATGTTTCCAAATGTTCTACCACCTTGGTGTTTCCCTTCACTGGCTCTTGTGACATCAAACTAAAAAGAAAAATCAAGAATATTCTGCAATCAATTTATCCCCAAGCCAGACTAAGAGTGATATTCAAACTGAATATGCAGTTTTTCCTCTTCAAAGACAAAATACCTCCTTCGAAAAGATGGCTGATTGGTGGTGTAGCAACACGTGTCCATGCTGTAGGCATGGCTACATTGGGTCAACGACACGAACCGTAACTACCAGAGTGAAGAAGCATGCCCAAAACAGCCCTTCCAACAACTCTGGAATTTACTACCATCTAAGCAAAGACTGTAGCGAGAAGCCGAACAAAGAACACTTCAAAAAATAATATACTCGGGAAAGAGTGAAAACTTTGTCGAACAAATAAATGTCAATAACTATCTCAATTACAACTAGGGGAGAACCCGTCGTAGTATTATCCTTCCTTTTGATGTATAAGAGTTCCAAAGAAAACAGATTCTAAGTATATTTACAGAAGTTTCATAATATTTCGAATTGAGATATGTTCTATCAGGGAGAGATATTTAGTTGTTTTTTTTTTTTTACAATACTAATAGACGGGAACTCTCGTGAACTGGAATACCACAAAGCTCCAGTTTAATTATCTATAATAATCCCAACAAGGTGGTCTGAGTTTCTTAAGGCGTATTTTGGTTTCAAAAATTGTACAGAGTTATAAGTGGATGAGCCAATATAGTTCGCCATGTATGTGAATTTTGGAGGTAAGAAGTCAACTGGTGAGATTCATTTCTCCTGTATTTCTTAGTTTTGAAATACTGTAGATTTACTTAGTTCTTCTTCGGTTTATTTCTGTAGTATTTGATATTAGGGGTACGAGTAATGCATCTCGGAATAACTTGTGTTTTGTAGATTTTTTTGCTCATAGTGACAGTACGGTCACCTTTATCTGCTGTAATATTACTTTTATTCTTTTTTTAAGGTTATTAAGGGCTATACGTTCTTTGGGATTTGTTTGTTTTGAATTTCGCTCAAAGCTACATGAGGGCTATCTGCGCTAGCCGTCCCTAATTTAGCAGTGTAAGACTAGAGGGAAGGCAGCTAGCCATCACCACCCACTGCCAACTCTTTTACCAACGAATAGTGGGATTCACCGTCACATTATAACGCCCCCACGGCTGAAAGGGCGAGCATGTTCGAACCCGCGACCCTCAGATTGCGAGTCGAGCGCCCTAACCACCTGGCCCGTTCTTTGGGAGTTTTGTATTGTGTTTAATTTTATTTCGAGACATTTGTTTAATAATTGATTTTCAAACAATTCTTCTAGTTCACAATATTTATTTTGGTGTGACTGTATGAGAAAGATATTCTGTTGCGTGTAAGTACAAACTTGAATCCTAATGTTAAAACAAGTCAAAACCTCATCACCGAGATTGACAACTGATGGTTTTATTTTCAAGCGAAGTAATACGAAGTTTTCTCACGATTTTCATTCAATAGAATATTTAATTTCCCAATTTCTCTCTCTTTTAGAATGTTAAATTCACGTTCCGTTCTTAGATGTATAATTCTGTCAATATTAATAAATTCGTCAACAGAAACCAAAGATTTGATTTATTCACCTATTTCCTGTGTTACTAGGTAGCTTGTATTTTACAAATTGAACGTCCGACACCTGACGAAACCTTGTGTAGTACAAAAATACTAAAACATGTATAATTATTAAAACTCACACTACGAGCTTAAACATCAAATTTTTGCTTCTGTTGATATTTGTATGATGATTCTTGAATCTCTAATATATTCTGTTATGCGGGAACGAAACAGTACTATGTAGAAACTTTTCTTTTTTTAATCATATTTTCTGTATAATGTCTACAAGCAATATATCTTTACATAAGTTTTTCATTAATTAATGTTATATGACTGTTAACGTTAATATTATTGTCACACCATCCGCATACGTTTGTTTACTTATTGAATTTTGAGCAAGCCTACTCCAGGGCTATCGGAGTTAACCGTCCCTAATTTAGAAATGATAGACTAGAGGGGGGCAGTTATTCAAAACCACCCACTGCCAACTTTTAGGCTATTTTTACTGACGAAAAACGGCTTTAACCGTCACGTTATAAAGCCCCTACGGCTAAAAACCGAGCATGTTCGATGACGGGATTCGAACCCGCCGCATCCTGTAATCGAAAGTTTTGATTTGTTCCAGTTCGTTGTTTTATACTAATAAGGTTAAAACATTCAACGCTTGTGTAAACACTCTTAGAAAAGAGTTGAACAATGTCAGTGTTTTAACACTTACATTTATTTTGACCTATTTTAATCCAATAGCTCTGAAGAAAGGTAAACGAGAGCCTACAGTAAACTGGATAGGGTCCTCAAATACTTGCCTCCATTATAAAGAAATTGTTTTCCAGCTCTTGACTCACTGGATATTTTTTATTTCTTGGTGTAAAATTACTCCTACAATTAACAGCATATACAAGGAAAATAAATGTGTAAGAGTATACAACGTACAACATCTGTAGTTATTAAAAACTACTATTTACTTACAGCAGAATGGGGAAAACATCAACACAAGAAAACACATATTTTAATAAGAGATCTACAGCTTCAGTTCGGACCAGAAAATTATCAATTTTACTTGAATTACACGTAATTATTATCTAGGTAGAAGTAGGAAAAAATATAACTAGGTACTATCAAATTAACGAAGTGTGGATTTTAAGAATGGCCATATTTCAAAAGAGATTTATTCAAAATGCTTGCAAAACAACCACACAACGGTATTAATACATATACATTAAATATGTGATATATATATATATTTGTAGAGCAAAAGCAATAAATTGAATCTTTCTGTTCACAATCTTTAGAGAAAATTACATTCATACACATTATATATATATTAACTAAGCAGATTCATAAATCAAGACTTTAGTCTTAAACCACTCAAAGCAAGTTGGTTTCAAGAAAAAAGCTGATTTCTTGTACTATTCCTTTTAATGAGTTTTTGACAACTTAGTATGTAATTTTTCAATCACATCTATGCTTCTCTTTTCAGTCATAACTTCCTTAAAAACAGAACTGAGCTAAGTGTTATTTGTTTCATGACATCACAATTGACTAAATAACTTTTAACAAGTGTTAGTCTTTTTTTATATTAATGTTGACCACCATATTCCAAGATTGCTTCGAAACTCTAATTCAACTTTCAGTTAAAAACTTAATATTAAATTTACCTTTATGCCAAGATTGTCATTTTAAATTGGCTTCTATGAATTAATTGTTTTTCATTCTAGAACAAGAATCCAACTCCAGTACACTCCAAAAACTGGATGGAAGTCATGTTAGAAACTCGTTAAGCCAATATCAAGTGTACAGCTATGCTATTAGAACATGCAAAACAGTGGTTATTAATTAAACTACTATATAAAGTGTACTATGATAAGTGAATGAGGTGTACTGAAACAAGTATATATGGGGATTGATAAAGTTAATATTGAAAATATCATTCTGAGTTAATTAACATTATATAATCCAATACAGGTTTCTTTGCAATGTTCCCATTACAGACTGAGTTAGGAAACAGTAACTATAAAACCAAGGTTAAAGATTAATTAATCACACACAAGCACATTCCACAGTAATAGCATAGCCATAATTCTCATGCGTAGCTAGTCAGGATCTTTATTTTAGGGATGCACTTTCTGTTGAGAAAAAAAGGTATCAAATTTCTGGGAAGATCATGAATGTATATTCATTTGTCAAAAGAATTAATGACAGCTCGTTAACTTTTAACAAATATTGAGCTTACTAAAGAGGCCAATGGAGACTTGAAAAAGAGAAGGTGAGGATAGTGACATTTACTAACGAGGCCAATGGAGACTTGAAAAAGAGAAAGAGGATAGTGACATTTACTAACGAGGCCAATGGAGACTTGAAAAAGAGAAGGTGAGGATAGTGACATTTACTAACGAGGCCAATGGAGACTTGAAAAAGAGAAGGTGAGGATAGTGACATTAATGAGCAGTAGTAGGAAGGTTAATGTTGAACCAAGCATGTGAGTGGTCTCCATTTGATGCAACCCTCATGAACAAAACGTTTATTATGTAGTGTGTGTAATTACAAGTTTTTGCAGGGTTAGTGGCATCACGAAGTTTCAAATAAATGCTAGAGCAAAATCACAGTCACTCAATCAGGGTCGGGAAGTGTCACCATAGCAGTCAGACACGGACTCTACAGGTGTGAATTTAGCCTAAGCTCCCACGTAAGTGATAGTTTACATAAGTTATGTAATCTTTACCTTGGAGATAGTAGTAAACTCAAAATGCCTGATTAGAAGTGTAACTAATGAAGCAGAAGAGTATCTGTGACTTATAAAAAAGCTAGATATTTTATTAGTATATCAAGTCTTTGCCTCAATTCCTTATTTTTCACATGAATTTTCTCAAGTTGGTGATCTGTATGAAAACACCACTGACTGCAATCCTGGTATTTTTAAGTAACTACTATTTGTAGCAAGTATCTGTCTCACCATTAATATAACATGCAGAAGAAAATGGTTACAAATTAAATTACTATACAAAGGTATAATATATTAAGTGAATCAAGTGTAAAGGAACATTATTAAAACAAGCAAGAAAAAAAAAGGTTATTAACTAAACTACACTAAGCTACTATATAATGTGTAATATACTAAATGAATCAGGGGTACAATCACATTGCTAAAACGCACAGAAAGAATGTGGTTACTAATTAGTTTGCTATAAAACAAGTAATATACTAGATACTCTCTAATAACTTATTGCATCTATCTTAAAATTCTTTTAAAAAATATCAAAACTCAGGATATAAGAAGATTGTAGAACAAAGGAAAATCAATGAATCTTAAGAAGATTGTAGAACAAAGGAAAATCAATGAATTTTAAGAAGATTGTAGAACAAAGGAAAATCAGTGAATTTTAAGAAGATTGTAGAACAAAGGAAAATCAGTGAATTTTAAGAAGATTGTAAAACAAAGAAAATCAATGAATTTTAAGAAGGTTGTAGAACAAAGGAAAATCAATGAATTTTAAGAAGATTGTAGAACAAAGGAAAATCAATGAATTTTAAGAAGATTGTAGAACAAAGGAAAATCAATGAATTTTAAGAAGATTGTAAAACAAAAGAAAATCAATGAATTTTAAGGAGATTGTAGGACAAAAGAAAATCAATGAATTTTAAGAAGATTGTAGGACAAAAGAAAATCAATGAATTTTGATATTTAATTACCAAAGTAATCCAGCAGTTACATGGACATTTTAGCCTGATAGCTGTACACATAGTGTACCAAAAAATGTGCTTCTAAGCATTTTTATACAAACAGTTCCACCAGTTTAGTCAAGAGTTATGGAAGAAAATATATTTAAACACAGAAAATATTTAAATACACAAAAATTTTTTACCTTTGACTGAATTAACAACTTTCTGTACGAAACAAAACAGACCCATACTCTTCAGAAAATTGGAAACAATTTTTTTTTTACTGTTACCTATATTTTGCCACTGTGACTTCATCAGGGCTTTTACCAAAACTGATAAATATGAAATACATTAATTCATTAAACTACTTTCGGTGTTCCACTTCCTGAGACTATTGTAACATGCTTCAACAATGTTCACAATATTACTGTTGTTTCTGAACAATCAACATGTTCATTCTACAACTACTCAAGACAGACTTAACCCTAAAAATTGATGACAGACAAATACAAAAGTTCTATATATAATAAAGAATGTAAAAACGTTTATCTCACACCACTATGACCAATTCAATAACAGATAAATAGTAGTAAAAATATAAAACAGTAATAACAGGTAAAACCCTGAAAGAATCATTACTTCACTCCTCATACACAACACAAAAACCTGGTTAAACCCTGAAAGAATCACTAGTTCACTCCTCATACACAACACAAAAACATGGTAACACTGAAAGAACTGTTAGTTCACTCCTCATACACCATACTCCCATTCAACACACCAACATCGTATCAAACACCCTTAATATCTTAGCCTGTATGTCTAATCCACATAAACATGCATATTTTACAACCGAATTTCAGTTACGTTTCTACAACCAGTCCAATAATTATAGTTATACAAAAGTAAAAATACAAGTACATATTGTTTCACAACACTTCAGGGGTTTAACAAACACTGACTAAAAACATCTGTAGTCTCAGTAATAAAGTAAATAATTCCAGTTTCATTATTTTAACAGCTAGTGAAATTTGCTTAAACTTAAAAGTTTTATTAACCACCTCAATTTTTTTTTGAAAATTGCATGAAAAATAAAAAAAAGAAATTTACGTTTGTTTTGTTTGTTGCTAAGCCCAAAGCTACAGAATGGGCTATCTGTACTATGCCCACCACAAGTATCAAAACCCAGTTTTTAGCATTATAAGACTTCAGACAGACCACTGTGCCATTAGAGAGTATATAATTGTGTTTGATTATAACCGATAATCACACATACAAAAAAAAAAAGGAAATTTCAAAGGACCCAGAAACTCAAGGGCTTTTAGAACATTTGACTACTCTTCTTCAAAAGTAAAAAATATCAAACTATATTATAATCTAATCTTAGAGCAACTAAAAATAATAAACTGAACATTGTTAAAAGTATATTAAAACATTCTGGGGAAATAGAACACCAAAAAATATTTCACAAGTTTAAGTATCTTTTTTTGTACAATCTCTAACGAATCCTCAATGGCAAAACATAGGTTGTAATAAAAGTGTTATTATCTGGAGAATACAGGTCGTTTTATTTGTAACTTTTACTGTTGAAAATGTTTAAAAATCTACCATTTTGGAAAACAAGAAAGCTTTACAAACTATTTCAACAATCACATAGAAGAGTTCAGAATTTCAAACGTACCGAAATGGAGAAAAGTTGACACAAAAGAAGTTTAAAAATAACGAAGACAGAAATTTTTTTAATTGGAAACAGACTAAACATTTCATTGCTGAGAAGACTATCAAGCTTATACTCTGTAAATTAACCATGTACAACAGAATTTATATTCTCTTTCTTGAACACAAAACTACAATGAAACAGGATTAATTCAATATCTGAAAAAAAAATTATATTACATTAAAATATTCTTTAATCCTCTTTCCTAAATCCCCTCTCATTTTAGTACAACTTCTGTGAACAGTTAATAACACAAAGTTAAAATTTAAGTTGATAAATATTAGCCACAAATCTATGAAAAAAGTAACACATCGAAAGAATTACTCAAAATAAAACCTTTCCGATTAAAAATCACTACTACAATAAGTTTATGTTGAATAAGGGGAAAAGTTGTCAATAAGATTAAAGTTATAAAATGATTATTTATTTATAGAAAACCGGGTCCTATAGAAGAATTACTAAAACTATTTCAAATATGCAAAATAATTCAATAAGAGCATATGATCTCTACATGCAATTTCGTTGTTTGTAAAAAGTGTATACACAGCCATTTCCAGAGACTAATTTACAAAACATCTATCAGCTTTGTATGGTACACTTGCTTCTCAAACGTCAGGAAATGAAAGAGGTTAATCTATCTGTCTATCTGAAACAGCTCTCATTAAAAATTAATCTTTTCAGACTTCCAGCATGAGTTAAAATAATGCATCAAAATAACTAACACCACAATGTGCCATTTTGAAACTTATGGCTCAAGCCACGGGACCAGCAGTGGCTTATTTGGCTAGACTCCATCATCCATTTCTTTAAGTTAGTTTCATCAATCAAACAGCAAGGTTGTATGCATCAAAAAGATCAGATAATCCTTCTGCATCATCAAGGGTAAAACTGTAGTCATCTTCTGATAGAGGCAGTTCAAAGTGAAGAAACGGTAAGGGTTCATCATTCTGATCTTCCGTTTGTAACAAGAAGTTTTTTCCCATAGGAGCTAAGTCGTCATCTTCTGTAATCAAAGCAAATTTCAAGGTAGGATCTCCTGTAGAAAGAAAGATTCTCCATGATAAGATAATAAAACCATGTTGAAGTTAAGTTAGTATACAGCACTAGTAATAACTGTTCTTTGTGACCTCTTATTTTTATCATTTCATGGTCAGTATTGGGTAAGTCAGTATAGCAGTGTTAATTATTAAACAATGTTATAACATTTCATTAAGAAAGAACCCTACCAACATCTCTTGAATGAGTCACAAATGTACCTTTTAAGCTATCCCTTGAATTAGTATCTTCAACCCCTGATGACGTCCCTTCATCTCGCTTTTCTTCATCCTCTGGACATAAGTAAACTTCAATTTCTCCATTATCACTTTTTAACCATATTTGTAGTTTCTGGATAAAAGAAAAAAAAATATATATATATACATTTATTTGAATAATGAACTTTTCTCATATGATAGATGTGTATTTTTTGTTGTTTTTACTGAACACAGAAAATTTATTTCAGGTAAATATTCACTCGATCAAGATAAACATACCACTACAATCCAAGAATACATGACATAATTTATCAAGGTCTACCAAGTTAGTGATCTTAAAGCTTTTTCTTAGAAATTTTTTTAAATAAAAATGTTTCCTCAGGTTAATTCCCATAAAATAAAAGGCTGCATACAGAATGATTTCAGAAATCCACCATCTGAGGCAGAATCAAACAGAAACCAAATTATCAAACATTAATTCTAGAAACATTGAGATTGTTAAGATTTTAGATGTGCACTTAAACAAACTGATATAAATAAGTTCTTGATATTAACTGGTTGAATTTACCTTATAAGAAACCAAATATAAAAAATAAAATGTGAAATGATAAATCTTTTCAGCTTCTAGTAAAGACTGCATGTCATGCATGAAACACGGGGATTACAGTAGACCCATTCTATAACAGTTCATATTGTAACATTTAAGCTCAGCTTTATCACTAGCAGCAAATGATGGAACTAGCTTAATGTTATCTTACAAAGGTAAGTACAGGATGGTGTAGTGAAGACGTTATCTTACAAATATAAGTACAGGATGGTGTAGTGAAGACGTTATCTTACAAATATAAGTACAGGATGGTGTAGTGAAGATGTTATCTTACAAACATAAGTACAGGATGGTGTAGTGAAGACGTTATCTTACAAACATAAGTACAGGATGGTGTAGTGAAGATGTTATCTTACAAACATAAGTACAAGATGGTGTAGTGAAGACATTACCTTACAAACGTAAGTACAGGATGGTGTAGTGAAGACGTTATCTTACAAATATAAGTACAGGATGGTGTAGTGAAGACGTTACTAACTTATTTTATTTTTTTATGAATATTCGGTGTTGCCAAAGTAAGATACATACTTCACTGGGATCAGGAACCTCGAGTCTAGTCTCTGGCGGGGCTTTGATTGCTACCACTGTCTGATCGGCCAGCGATGATGTACAACGAAGATCACGGTATGTTACATATGCATATGTAATTCAACATCAAAGACAACACAAATATAGAATGTTGAAATACACGTTTAAATAAAACTTATTTTAACAACAGCCATTAATTCCTATATATGTGACAGTATGTAATTCAACATCAAAGACAACACAAATATAGAACGTTGAAATACACGTTTAAAAGAAACTTATTTTAACAACAGCCATTATAGTTAATTCCTATATGTGACAATATGTAATTCAACATCAAAGACAACACAAATATAGAACGTTGAAATACACGTTTAAAAGAAACTTATTTTAACAACAGCCATTATAGTTAATTCCTATATATGTGACAATATGTAATTCAACATCAAAGACAACACAAATATAGAACGTTGAAATACACGTTTAAATAAAAGTTATTTTAACAACAGCCATTATAGTTAATTCCTATATATGTGACAATATGTAATTCAACATCAAAGACAACACAAATATAGAACGTTGAAATACACGTTTAAATAAAACTTATTTTAACAACAGCCATTACAGCCATTAATTCCTATACATGTGACAATATGTAATTCAACATCAAAGACAACACAAATATAGAACGTTGAAATACACGTTTAAATAAAATTTATTTTAACAACAGCCATTAATTCCTATACATGTGACAATTTGTTGTAATTATATTACTATTTTCCTAACTGTAACATGAGCTTTTTTATGAAAGACTCACCAAATCCATAACACTTTACCTTTTTACAATTTTAATAGCCTTGGAACATTCACTAATCTAGATGGTATATCTTAACCAACAATGTGATCAATCGTTATCAACCAAATCAGTTGTTGTATTGACCATTACATGGAACACTTACCAACCTATATGGTATAACCTAACCAACAACAACATGATCAACTGTAACCAACTAAATCAGTCAGTTGTTGTATTGACCATTACATGGAACACTTACCGACTTATATGGTATAACCTAACCAACAACAACATGATCAACTGTAACCAACTAAATCAGTCAGTTGTTGTATTGACCATTACATGGAACACTTACCAACCTATATGGTATAACCTATCCAACAACAACATGATCAACTGTAACCAACTAAATCAGTCAGTTGTTGTACTGACCATTACATGGAACACTTACCAACCTATATGGTACAACCTAACCAACAATAACATGGTCAACTTTCAACTAAATCATCAGTTGTTGTATTGACCAGTACTAGGAACACTTACCAACCTATATGGTATAACCTAACCAACAACAACATGATCAACTGTAACCAACTAAATCAGTCAGTTGTTCTATTGACCATTACATGGAACACTTACCAACCTATATGGTATAACCTAACCAACAACAACATGATCAACTGTAACCAACTAAATCAGTCAGTTGTTGTATTGACCATTACATGGAACATTACCAGCCTATATGGTACAACCTAACCAACAATAACATGGTCAACTTTCAACTAAATCATCAGTTGTTCTATTGACCATTACATGGAACATTACCAGCCTATATGGTACAACCTAACCAACAACAACATAGTCAACTTTCAACTAAATCAGTCAGTTGTTGTATTGACTATTACATGGAACATTACCAACCTAACCGACAACAACATGATTTAAATTGAAGTACGAGTACAACAAAGGATATCTCTTATTTTCTTCAGCTTCTGTCACCATTTTCAGTTCTAGCTTTGCACACTGAATAAGCTCATCCAACTGATTTTCTCTGGCATCTAACAAGTCAAGATCTTTTTCCAATTTCTCTTGAGCAGCAGACACAGCATGATGATCACCTCTAGATATCAAAATAAAAGATTTATATCTAAGTCTTATTTTATTAAAAATTATTTTGTAAAAAATACTTATTGACAAGAATCCTGTTCACTATCATGAGCATACTAGTATGTTTTAAAGTATGCATGGTATTATAGTCAAAAATTTTAACCACCTTTAATGCAACAATTATTTAACATAGAAAACCAGATCAAAAAATAAGTCTTTTTTTTTATTTTCATGTAGATTTGTCACATTTATTACTTTATTTCCATTACAAAAATCAACTTAGTAATAAACTGATGAAATGTGACAAAAACAGATATAAATAAAACCAACACCAGGAGAAATGACAAAGAAACACCTGTAAATTATATGCCTAGTAATGGTTATGTTTTGGCATATTTTCTAACCATCTACAGTAAACTTGCTTGAAAGAAATCTTTCTAGGTTTCTCCGAGACCTTGATTATTTATTTATTGTTGTGTAGTTCAAAACTACTTGCTACAAAATACAATTTTCAACTAGCAAAGTTCTAACATCAGAGTTTATTGCTGTGATATTGTTTTTATGCCAGACTTAAAAAAAACACAGTTAATAATGAAGTGGCTCACAGTCTCGTTAAGGATTTAATACTACTTCTGCCACAGCAACTTACAAGTGTAACAATGTAATAGTTTCTGCACTTGGACAAGGTTCTTTAGTTTATTTAGCAGGAATAATAATGGAAAGCCTAGTGAAAATAATGAAAACTAAAACATTTCATTTCTTCAACTTAAAGCTTAAAGTTCTGCATAACCAACATTCACTGATAGGCCTAACTTCACAAATAAACTATATTGAACAGAAGTTTCACTGAAGTTTACTTGCTAATTCTTTATATGTTTTTTTAAAGAAAAGTTCAATATTCCTAATACTATCATAGATTAACTGGCTGACAGTAGCAGAAAACTTGACTAAATCATGCACTTTGATAGTATTAGGAGAGAGAGAGTTAGGTGTAAGTTATTGAGCTAGCAAGTTTTAGTCAGTTAATGAGTGCATGATTCAGTCAAGTTTTCTGCTACTGTCAGCCAGTTAATCTATGATAGTATTAGGAGAGAGAGAGTTAGGTGTAAGTTATTGAGCTAGCAAGTTTTAGTCAGTTAATTAGATGAACTGGCTGACAGTAGCAGAAACTTGACTAAATCATGCACTTATTAACTGACTAAAACTTGCTAGCTCAATAACTTACACCTAACTCTCTTTTCGTACATGGCTCAATATTTTCTAAATTTGAAGAAAGTTCTAGACAATAAAGTCAAACACTATTACCAATCATATTCCTCACAATGCAACATTGTCCCATTTCTGGCATTAAAAGCAATTGGATTCCTCACAGTGAAACTTGGTCCCCATTCACACACTATTAAAAACTATAATCCTCATAATGAAACAAGGTCCCTCTTCTGTCACTATTACCAGCTAGACTGCCCACTGTGAAACAGACATTGTCCACCTTCTGGTACCATTACCAGAAAACACCTGTTAATGAATACAATGTTCAGTGACACGAGACAGGAAATATCTGTAAATGAATAAAATACCTGATGACATGAGACAGGAAACACTTTTAAATGCATAAAAACAAAATTATCACTTTAAGCTCCACCTATGTGTTACAGGATAGTAGTGCTCTGAAGCAGCAGCTGAACCACCAGTCTAGAGGGACAGGCAACAGCCTGTCGGATTTCACAAAAACTGACAGAATATTTATTGTAATGGATTTTGTTGTATTTTAGCAGTCTGTGACAACTTAGGAAAACAGCAAGCCAGTCCCTGGTGTTGAAAAATACTGTATTATCACAGAAACGACACAAGCACTTACCTCCACTGTATGTTGTTTTTTAATTTCTTTTCTACAAGTCCTATTCCTTCTAATACATTGGTTATGTCATAAATACGTCGTTTCTGGACATCCAGAAGTGACGATGCTTTATTCAGATCAACCACCTATAAGATTATCGAAAACATATCTTCAAATATCTGAAATAATAAATTTCAAACAATACTATATGTATTAAACAGTTTATAGCCTAAAAACTACAAAATGATTTTCCCACGCTCATGTTTGTTATATTACTTTAAACTGTGACATTAGAAGTTCCTGAAATTTCTTTAAAAGTTGCAGGAACTATAAACAAAGTATAACTATTTAAAGTCACCTATTCTTTTAATAAACTTCAGAGACTATTAGACATGTATGTGGACAAACACTATTATCTCATTTCCATTTATCAGTAATTAACTAATTACAGCTCAAGTGATTTGAATGGGAGAATTATGTTCTCTGAGTCAAGCAGAAGAAAACTTAACCGATAAACTAGAAGTTAAAGTTCTCATAGAAAACTTTATGTTCTGCATATCAAGTAAGTCTATATAAGTAGTATTTTTATGCTTATGTGTTACAATAGCGAATAATACTCTGTATATTTCACAGAACAAATCCATAAATTGCACAACTAAAATCACATAAATAAAGAAATTTGTGGGAGCTTTGTAAACATAATACAACAATTATCAGTTAACATTTTGCAAGTTTGTGTATCAAAAAAAATTTGTTCTACTCAACAAACTACTTAAAAGTATTTTTTAACTCTTAATTTTTTAGAAATGATTATTACTTACTCCATTATGTGCAGATGTTAACAAACCAACAAATCGTTTGGTAAGAAGTCCCAGTGACGTATCAAGTCTCGTCTTCTCTGCTGGGGACTTAACTATACAAGTGTAGAAAAGTATTATTACATGTGCATTAGAAATTTCTTTCGAAGTTCATGATATCTGGTTGAAGTATTTCAGAAAAATCAACTTTCCTCAAATAAAACATTATGACATTAAGACAGTTTAGTTCTGGAACCAGTGATCTTCACTAGTGCTGAACAATGTCAATATTTAGTTATCAGTGCTGAACAATGTCAATATTTAGTTACTAGTGCTGAACAATGTCAATATTTAGTCACTAGTCCTGAACAATGTCAACATTTAGTCACTAGTGCTGAACAATGTCAATATTTAGTCACTAGTGCAGAATAATGTCAATATTTAGTTACTAGTGCTGAACAATGTCAATATTTAGTTACTAGTGCTGAACAATGTCAATATTTAGTTACTAGTGCTGAACAATGTCAATATTTAGTCACTAGTACCATTTGTAATTTATCATGTTTCTGCAAGTAATTTTTCAATTATCGAAGAAAAGGAAATAAACATAAAAGTAACATGACTGAAACAAAATGAACTCAATGCTTTAGGTATCTCTTGCAATAATGTGATCAAAATGTTACGCTAATATTGAAGTTATTTAAAACATAAAACATGTACTTCATTATAAGCTGTACCTGAGAATAATCTATTTGCTGTTAAAAAAATTCACATATTAAAATACCTAATAAATGTTTGAAATTAACACAGTTATGTAATATTTATTATTGTCATTACAAACCTTCCTGAATATATGAAAGTTTGAGAGAATGGCAACAATTGCTTTCAATGACAGAATTATAATTTTAAAGTAATTTTTTTCTCAATTTCTAATAACAAAAACTCTGTGAGAAACTTAAGATATCTACATTCAGAGAGATTCATTCAACATGTAACTTTCTAAAACTACTTGAAATACTACTATAAATAACAACTTAAGGTTCTTGAAAAGATCTTTGGTCTCAGTGAGAAGTATTCACATATCTGCTTATAAGCAGGTTCAGTTTGCAAATGCTTCATGTGTTGGTTATTGTTGCATAATGACTTGTAATTCTAAAAGTATGAACTCACACCTTGTCTAATAGTCTAATCGTATGATGTCTGAAAGGTACCTAGATCATGTCAGGGTCATCGCCATAGATAAGGCCTCAATTTTAAGAAATCCTCTTTAAGTTGACATTATATAATTGATCTCGAGGAAGATGTCACTACAAACAACACTGTGTAGTCAAACTCAATGTTTTGCTTCACACCAATGCTTGAAATATCGTGACAATGACATCAGAAAACTACTTGAGAACTGTTAACAATACTCTTTGTAACCTAGGTGACACAATTTCTTACTGTGTTGCATAGTTGTTGCATGTTATGACAAAAAATATAAAGATAATAACATAATACACTTATGAAATAAAACAAACTTAATACTAAAATTCTACCTTTAGGACTATCATATGAGCTCCAGGAACGCCCCCTTTTGGCCCTTGGTGTTTTGAAACCTTCACTGGTATTGCTTCCCTCTGGACATTCTAAATCTAAACGTCGCTTCACCTGCAATATTATGGACAATGTATTAACAATCTTACTCTCGATTACTTTAGTGTATAAACTTAATAACACTGACCAACAAATGTATGTATTTGAAATGTACTAGTTTTTTTTATAATGCAGTGAGAGTACTTTCAGAAAAAAATGATATTTTTATATATAATCTTCTCATTAAGTAAACAATTCTACAAAACAGATAAAATGCAAGCTTGTAAATCTGATCTTTTATATAGTGTTTCTCACAACTCTTATATTTACAAAAGTCATAACACATACAATAGTCAGGATACGAACTGTATGCTTGAGACCTGGTGAGGGAACTCTGATTTACAATCACTGGTGTAGCTGGAGGGATTAGGCTTCAAGCCCCATTTAAGGAAACTTTCTTAGTATCCTGAGTTATTACACTGTCATCCCTCAAGAGTTGGTCTGGGCAATTAGCTCAATAAATTGTCAGAAAAATAACCATCTAATCAAAACTAGTGTTTTTATTATTCCATTTAAGAAAGTCTCATGTCAGCATAATCAATTAATTAAATGTAATCTATTAATGAACCTTAAGATTAATTGATTAACAAATTCCACTAACTGCCCAACTCTACACGCGAATGGAACAGATGGTAAGTCAAACATTACCTCAGCTACTGGACCAATATAATTTACATGATTATATAATCAGCTTGACCATAATGTGGAGTGATGGGCTAAGAATGTCACACTATCTGTTAAGCCAAGTTACAGACCATATTTAAATGTGTGTATATGTGTGTGTGTGTGTGTGTGTGTATGGAGAGGATTAACAGTCCACTACTATAAACCAAGAGTTCCAGGTTTGAGCCATTCATTTCTTAATTTTCAATTTATTATACCAGATAGTTCATCAGTTCTCCAGAAACTTTAAAATACTTATAAAATAACTTTTCGCCAAGTGTGAGAATAAGCTAATGTAACAAAAGGCCATTTCGACCTACCAAAGAATCAAAACTAAACTTAGCCCCTCATAAGAAATGCTTCAAATATCTTAAAACTGGAAAAACATATCCTCAAATTATTCCACAAGTTGATGATTCTATCAAAAACATATTTCACCTGAAACTGTGTTTCCAAAGATTTAACACAAGTTATCATTTCCAAGTCTTTCATTCCACTACTAAAACAGATCATCTCTATGTAAGCTACAAGTTAAATATTTTAAATATGTCAGCTGTAGTTGTTCTGTACTTCAGAGAATGCAAGACTTAGCACTTCAACTAGGATGTTCAAACTATTTCTGTAGTAAGACAATTACAACCTACTTCAACTAGCATGTTGAAACTGTTTATAGTAAGACAATTACAACCTACTTCAACTAGCATGTTGAAACTGTTTATAGTAAGACAATTACAACCTACTTCAACTAGCATGTTGAAACTATTTCTGTAGTAAGATAATTACAACCTACTTCAACTAGCATGTTGAAACTGTTTCTGTAGTAAGACAATTACAACCTACTTCAACTAGCATGTTGAAACTATTTCTGTAGTAAGACACTTACAACCTACTTCAACTAGCATGTTGAAACTGTTTCTATAGTAAGACAATTACAACCTACTTCAACTAGCATGTTGAAACTATTTCTATAGTAAGACAATTACAACCTACTTCAACTAGCTGTTGAAACTGTTTCTATAGTAAGACAATTATAATCTATTTCAACTAGCATGTTGAAACTGTTTCTGTAATAAGACAATTACAACCTACTTCAACTAGCATGTTGAAACTGTTTCTATAGTAAGAAAATTACAACCTACTTCAACTAGCATGATGAAACTGTTTCTATAGTAAGACAATTACAACCTACTCCAACTAGCATGTTGAAACTGTTTCTATAGTAAGACAATTACAACCTACTTCAACTAGCATGGTGAAACTGTTTCTATAGTAAGACAATTACAACCTACTTCAACTTGCATGATGAAACTGTTTCTGTAGTAAGACGATTACAACCTACTTTAACACAATGTTACAGTTTGAAAAGCACTCAGTAGCATCAATTTCACAAATGTAAAAAGTGCTCATTTATTACCACTTTTTACAATCTGAAAAAACCTACAAAATTTCAGTTTGGTTATGAAAGATCATTCTCTTCATAAAACTGTGGTTGTTAAAAACTACCACACTAATTCTTTACAGCATTCCCTCATAAAACTGTGGCTATTAAAAACTAACATATCAGTTCTTAACAGCACTCCTTTCATAAAACTGTGGCTGTTAAAAACTACCACACTAATTCTTTACAGCATTCCCTCATAAAACTGTGGCTGTTAAAAACTAAAACATCAATTCTTTACAGCACTCCTTTCATAAAACTGTGGCTGTTAAAAACTAAAACACCAATTTTTTACAGCACTCCCTTCATAAAACTGTGGCTGTTAAAAACTAAAACATTAATTCTTTACAGCAATCCCTTCATATAACTGTAGCTGTTAAAAACTAAAACACTAATTCTTTACAGCACTCCCTTCATAAAAACTGTGGCTGTTAAAAACTAAAACACCAATTTTTTACAGCACTCCCCTCATAAAACTGTGGCTGTTAAAAACTAAAACACCAATTTTTTACAGCACTCCCTTCATATGACTGTTAAGAGTAGAGCTGGCCTGTTAGCAGTATTTGCTAATAGATAAATTAATTTGTACAGCATTCCTCAAAGAAAAAAAAAGCTGTTGAAAGATAATAAAGCAATTCTTAGCAAGGAAATTAATTAATGTTTTCAGGAATCTCATCAAGTCTGTGTATATTATTTTACAAAGATCTTAGCTTTCAGAAGAAATGAAGCAAACAATTCAACTGATCAGAAATTTGAAAAAAGCACAAGCTTAGTATATTGTTATTAGAAGTATGTGGTAAGTTGCTTTGATGCTTGGTTAATCTTGTTCTTTTAGGTTTTAATGTCTTTCATAAGGTTATTTTTAATAAACCACTTGCTCTTTTTTGGAGACGTGGAACAACTGTTACCGAACAAATATGAAGTTTCCTATCTGGGCAAGGAAGATTCTTCTTTCAGTTATTTAACGATGAAAAGGATATTTCAGAAAAGTTTGAAAAATCTTTAAAAAATTGCTAACTTACTATGTCACGAGTTTCACCCCTAATAACATTATGAAGAAGGTTAGCAAAGAGTTAGTAGGGCTTTGAAAATGTATCTTGACATCAAGAAAGTTGCTGGTGACTAAAGATTAGTACATAATCCCCATTTTCAAAAACAAAGCAGTTAGAATATAAAAATCTATTAATATAGCTTCTGTTGCTATCAATTTATTGTCTGAAGCCATCTAAAAAAGAAGACAGTTAATTAATTAATAATTTTCAGCATAAATTTAAAAAAGGTTTGTTTGTTTTTGTCTTGCCAAATTGAAGTTTTTATGAAAAGGTTTTCACTTTTATTTGGTGTTGTGTAGTGTCATACAATATATTATTCAGTAAATTATCAAACTTACAAATGTTTTAATAAATAAATTGGCTATTTGAAAGATGTAAGTGGTTATTTTCCCAGTTGGGAGAATCATAGAAAACTGGCTATTGGACAGATATCCATGTTTATCTCCCTGGTTGGGAGAATCATAGAAAACTGGCTGTATGAAAGATATAAATGGTTATTTTCTCAGTTGGGAGAATCATACAAAACTGGCTGTATGAAAGATATAAATGGTTATTTTCCCGGTTGGAAGAACCATAGAAAACTGAAGAGGTCCGATATGTTTTGTATAACAGTATTTACCAGTGTAACGACATGTAGGATAACTGACAAGGTCCAATATGTTTTGTATTTACCAGTGTAACGACATGTAGGATAACTGACGAGGTCTGATATGTTTTGTATTTACCAGTGTAACGACATGTAGGATAACTGACGAGGTCCGATAGTTTTGTATTTACCAGTGTAACGACATGTAGGATAACTGACGAGGTCCGATATGTTTTGTATTTACCAGTGTAACGACATGTAGGATAACTGACAAGGTCCAATATGTTTTGTATTTACCAGTGTAACGACATGTAGGATAACTGACGAGGTCTGATATGTTTTGTATTTACCAGTGTAATGACACGTAGGATAACCGACAAGGTCCAATACGTTTTGTATTTACCAGTGTAAGGAAATGTAGGATAACTGACGAGGTCCCATACATTTTGTATTTACCAGTGTAACGATATGTAGGATAACTGACGAGGTCCGATATGTTTTGTGTTTACCAGTGTAACGACATGTAGGATAACTGACGAGGTCCGATATGTTTTGTATTTACCAGTGTAAAGACATGTAGGATAACTGACAAGATCTGATCTGTTTTGTATTTACCAGTGTAACGACATGTAGGATAACTGATGAGGTCTGATCTGTTTTGTATTTATCAGTGTAACAACATGTAGGATAACTGACAAGGTCCAACATGTTTTGTATTTACCAGTGTAACGACATGTAGGATAACTGACAAAGTCCAACATGTTTTGTATTTACCAGTGTAACGACATGTAGGATAACCGACAAGGTCCAACATGTTTTGTATTTACCAGTGTAATGACATGTAGGATAACTGACAAGGTCCAACATGTTTTGTATTTACCAGTGTAAAATTACTGACATAGCACTACACTACAACAAAATAAGTCGACTACAAGTAATAAAATACTTTGTATAATGTATACACAAACAGAACAATTTCATTCAATTAAAACATGTTCACAAATTATGTACTTGTTTTAGGTAAACTTCTTGTATCCTATATGTAACAAAATAAGCAAATTTCTATATTTTATTGGAAATTAACAAAAAGTTCATTTCTCTGATCACTCTTGCTGTGCTCACATAGAACTGATTATTATAGTATGTATCATCAACTTACATCACACTCTAAATATTATGAATCGTAATAGTTTAAAAATTAAATACTAATACTAATAGTTAAAAGATAAGGAAATTTATAAATTATTAAAATTATCTGAAAATATTTTCTGCTTAAATGCATGGCAAGAATTAAAGGAGAATAAGATCCAGTATGCAACAGTAATACAAGTACGTGTGTGTAGCTCATTATTATTAGTGCTACTTTTCTAAAATTACTGTTCACTAATGGTAGTAGCACTGCTAACTTAGTGGTGCTAAAGTAAAAAGTTGGTATGCAAAATTTCAAACACACACAATAGATAATGAACACTAAATCATATTAGAATTTACATATCATCAATATGATTATAATTACAAACTAAAATCCACATTCATGTATCTGCTGTAATCTTATTTCTTTGGTTTTGGTAGAAACTTATAAATAATAATATATATATTTTAACAAATTATAACCTGATTCCTCGCCAATGAAGGCTTTGGTGGGTTTCTTGCTAAATAATAGTGGTCAGGTGTCTGTCCATATTGGTCAATGATGATTGGCGATACAGTAGAAGCTAAATGCCGTCCCTCTGTTTTGGTCACAGGTGTTAAGAGCTGGCTTTGTCCACAGTTGACCTCTGACACCAAGGTAATGCCGTTACCATTATTTTGATAAATGGTAGCCGCCCGAGGTGTCCTTGGCATGTTGTAGCTTCTAACCCTAATATATTTGTGCAGTTGTGTGATTTTGTTTTTTATATTTAAAATTGCAATAAAATAATATTAAAAATGCTTAAGCGAATATTACAGAAAAAAAATATAAATAAATATAGAGGAAGTATCATGTAAACAGACCGATTTTGAACGATTTAAAAATCGTACAATATCAAAATTACAGATTCCCACTAGTACGCCAATATTTTTCAATCGCACAAAGAGCCTAATTTTGGCGCGAATTGTATTTCCCGCGGAATTTTGGGGCCCTGCTCCGTACATATGAATTCGATATCAGCAAAGAAAATAAATTATTAGTTTATAAAAATTATTGATACGATTAGCAAGCTGTTGGATTTTAGTATCGAAAATCATGAATTCGAAACAGTTATTTTATATATTTATAACTTTAATTGAAATCAGGCCGTGTGATTTTCTTTAAAAAAATACAGTATACAACATCTTTCTGCAAAAGTTTGGACTTTCTTGGGTATTTAAAAAACTACTTACCCAATGTGTTGCGTTGAACAACAAAACGTTATAATTGTAAAATATTAATATGCTTTTACAGAATGATTTAAATTAAATTTTAAAGCGTAAGCAAGTAAATAAGCCTACACAATAAAATGTTTTGATGGAAAAGAAAAAAGAATGGAAAACGTCACAATATTTCAACGAAGAACGTGATTGGTTATTTTATGATATGATGGGCGGTATTTATTGTTACGTAAAACACTAAAGCACGTGCTTCGTATTTACAAAATCTCAGCGCCCTCTGCTACACAGCTTATTCAGCGAGAAAAGTCAGTATGCACGTGGTTGTATAACCTATTTATATTAAATAGTATTAAAAACGACTCAAAATATTTTATAAGTTCTTTCTGATTAATCACTTTGTTCTGTGTAGTGTATTTTCCTCATAAACACTGCTTTGTTATATCAATTTTTGATAAAGCTTCAATACATGACTATTTTTTCTGGTTAACAAAG